TAAATATTTACAAGGAGTTTAAGGTATTTGGTTTGCTGAACCATCTTTAAGAGAGATAGATATTTAGATATTTTCATAGGTTCACTGCTTTGTCTTGGTCCCTATAATTAAACTTTTGTTTTTGTTTTTGTTTTTGTTTTTGTTTTTGTTTTGTTTCGTTTCGTTTGTATGCTGCCCAGTCCTGAAAGCTCTGGGTGGCTAACAAACCAAAACATCATAAAAAAGAATTCCTTCAAAAAACAATAAACCAACCCATAATAAAGCAAATAAAATATTTAAATTATGGAAATATACGAAATCATGCCAAATTCACATCTTCAGTCATAGCAAGTCCTCCTCCTGGAATAGCTAGGCCTTAGTTGCTGTCCTGTAACCCAGAAAGAAAGGAAGCCGATGTATATAATGGTTTTTAGGTGAACATGTATGAATGCTACATTGGAGCAGCATATAAAAACTTGTATTAGGGAACTTTAAATAACTGGAATTCCCTTTATGCTTTATTAAAATGCTTTAGTAAAAAAGTGAAGAAATTACAAAAACAGTGAAAATTAATACAATTTTTACAAATATTACAAATGTTACAAAAACAGTGAAAATAAGCTGTTAAGAAGACTAAATGCAAATATTCTGTTTTTTATAAATGTTATAGTCTGTGTATAGTGCGTGTGTGTGTGTGTGTGTGTGTATGGGGGACACACACACACACACACAGGTAATCCTTGGGTTATGATGGCAATTGTGACTGGAATTGCTGTTGCTAAGTGACAAAGCATGACACAGTCACAAAGTGTGACATCACATGATCACATCGCTTAGTGACAGCAATTCCGGCAGTCCCGATTGCCATTGTTAAGTGAGGACCACGTGGGTGACCATGACTTCCAACTTCTTGCCAGTTTTCCCATTGATTTTGCTTGTGGGAAGCCAGCAGGGATCATTGGAAATCACAATGATGCAACTGTGGGGATGCTGTGACAGCCAGAACTATGAGGACCTGCCATAACTATCTTTCATTCAGCGCTGTCATAACTTTGACTAGTCATTGAACAAATGGTTGTAACCCAATGACTACCTATACACACACACACACACACACAGACATTTACATACCTTGCATATTCATGATTAATTTTTTATTTGCTTGGAAGGTATGGTCTGGCGATTGAAAACATTTTCCAGAAGTGGCTTGACTGCTCAGGAATACCGAAGGGAAATGCAAATGTTTGTTTTGAATAGAATCCTGTGTACAAATCTGCTGAACAGGTTGTTCAAATTACTGTTTCTACTATAACAGATATGGCATGAAATAAAATCTGTTTCAATGACATCCAGTTTATGTCTTTATAAAATGCACATATGGGAATCAACTTTCATTAATTGCAGGTTCCATTTTCTGTTTTCCTCAAAGAGATGTTGCCAAGGGGAGAAGTCTCTTAAATCTTACTTTATTACTAAGGATACTGTTCACTGGAAATTGTATTATTAAGGAATCTTAGTGGCACTTCACATTTTTTAATGGAAAGTATGTTTTGTGAATTCTTGTAGATGAAGAAAAACCCTGTCACAAATTATTAGTTTTATTTATCAACTTTTTAATGTTTAGTGGGACTGATTTGTAAAGTTTCACACCTGTTAGGATTGTGCTAGGAACAGAATGTTTTGTGAAAAGGAAAGGGGAAAAAAGGTTATTCTTATTTTAAATATTTATTTAATTTTTAAAGGCAGTGATATCCTTCACAGAGAGATAGGAGGTGGTATTTATATTACACAGGTCACTCAACCCAAGATAAACAATGGCAGTGAAGAAATCATCCCCCCAGTAACCCATATTCATATATTTAATTGCCACATCTAGTTATCTGGAAATGTCAGATATTTCAATGCTAGAGACAATAAGTAAATTTGAAAACACATCATTATTTATAAGAGGTCCTTCTTGCGGATCGCATATATATTCTCCAGACATCCAGAATCTGGCGCCTTTGGAATGTTGACCTTCATTCTCTGTAAGCTTCAGTTTGTTTGGCTAGCACAGGCAAAATTGGCAGAAACCAAGAATAGATTAATCCAGCAGCGAGTCCTAGAACCTGTCTGCCATTCTATATTTTACGAATCTTATGAATGTGAAGGAGCAATGTTTTTATGCATAGTGCATGAGCCGTTCTTTTTTCAGTTATTTTCCTGTCATGCCCACTCACAGCAGTTCAGATAAATGGAATACAATACTGTTGTGCTGAAAACAGTTTGATGTCATGATAGGAGAGGGCATTACTTTTGTAAATATTCTTCAAATCCCCTTATGGAGGATTTTTTAGGAAATTGAGCTTTATAAAAGAATGTCCCGTCCCCACGCCCCCCCCCCCCCAGCAATAAGCTTGTCTTTTGACTGGATCATAGTCAGATTTTCCAGTGTGTTACATTATATGTGTATGCTGAAGAATAAACATTTGTGTAGACACAAAAGATTGCAGGAGAGTGTTTTCCTGAAACTTGTTGAGTCTGGGTTAAATAAGGTCAACTGCACTGTGCTGTTGATTTTGCTGTTTATCAGTTCAGGATGTACAGCAGCTTAAGAGGTGACTCACCACAGGACTGGAGAGCTTTTCACCTTCTACTAGGTTAATAATGATTTAATGTCAGCAATTCCAGACTGAGCTTAAATGACACCACAACTTTAGAAACAGCTGATTTTAGAATACGAAAGAACTGGTTAAGTAATGATGTGGCCATGTCCTTTCTAACACTGTGTAAATGTCCAGGTTTTTGCTATTGTTCCTGCCTGTTTTTAAACATTTCAAGAGCAGTGGCATCTGTGATTTGTTTGAACAATGATTCTCTATTGCTGAACAAAGCTTTTCATAGTCAACATACATTTTTCTTTAGTCATCTATTTAGTACTACCCCACCCAAAGTAATGAGTAAGGTAAAACTATGCACAAACTCCATGCTTACTTTACATATCCTTCAGTTGTTTAAACAAGCAACAGTCAATCTTACCCTGTAATAATTTCTACACTTCACTAAATTATGTATTTTGGTTGGTCTATGTTTTCTTCTACCTTTGCCATAGTTTAACAACTTACCAGTACACGATGGTTTTGTTTGTTTCTTTTTTATATGTGTATGTTGGGCTTCACTTTTTCCTACCTTCTCCTGTTATTATATACATGATCCAAAATACCATATGAGTGTTTTTTTTCTTCCACATGTTTTTATTTTGAAATTGTACAGTGGTACCTTGGGTTACGAACGCCTCTGCTAACGAACTTTTCGGGTTGCGACCAGCTCTGGCCGCAAAAATTTACCTCGGGGTACGAATGCCTCTGCTAACGAACTTTTCGGGTTGCGACCAGCTCTGGCCGCAAAAATTTACCTCGGGTTACGAATGCCTCTGCTAACGAACTTTTCGGATTGCGACCAGCTCCAGCCGCAAAAATTTACCTCAGGTTACGAACCGGATCCGCGGCCATTTTCCACCATGACACGTGGTCCACGGCCATTTTCCGCCCGTTCCACATGGTCCGCGGCCATTTTTCGCCCGTGCCACGTGGTCCGCGGCCATTTTTCTGCCCTGCTGTGTGGTCCGCGGCCGTTTTTTCGCTCTGCTGCGTGGTCTGCGGCCGTTTTTCTGCCCTGCCGCATGGTCCGCGGCTGTTTTACCATCCTGCCGCGTGGTCCGCGGCCGTTTTTCTGCCCTGCCGCATGGTCCGCGGCTGTTTTACCATCCTGCCGCGTGGTCCGCGGCCGTTTTTCTGCCCTGCCGCATGGTCCGCGGCTGTTTTACCATCCTGCCGCGTGGTCCGCGGCCGTTTTTCTGCCCTGCCGCATGGTCCGCGGCTGTTTTACCATCCTGCCGCGTGGTCCGCGGCCGCTTTTCTGCCCCTGATGCGTGGTCCGTGGACGCCGGAATGGATTAACGGCAATTACATTGAACCTTATGGGGAAATGTGCTTCGGGGTGTGACCAATTCGGGGTGCGACCAGAGTCACGGAACGAATTAAATTCGTAACCCGAGGTACCACTGTACTTTGGAATTGTTGTTCTTTTTCTCTTGTTTTTTATGGAGATCCACGTGATGGTAGTTTTAGCCTGTTCCTTCCAAGTTTTTTTTCTAAATATACCTGTATAATCTCCAGGACTGAGGCAATATTTATGTAATGAGATATATAGAGAAGTACTAGTAAAGTGTCCTGTAGTTTAAATGAATCACTTCTTTTTTACAATTTCATACCAATTTACATTACTTGCTATTGGTCTACGTTGAAAAATTAAAGACTGATTAGCTTAAGATTTACTTCTTAAATAGCCATCTTAAATTGCCCTAAAATCAGCTTTTGTTGTGTGAGGGAGGGAAAGTTTTAATGATTAATTTCCTCTCTTCTTTTTATTTTTCTCTTTAAAGGCAGAATAGCTGTAGTGTAGTACTACAAATCCGAAGAGACATTGCAGCAGTCAGGCAGAGGGAGGACTTAGAGAAGAGCAGGAAGGGAAGCAAAATGGAGAACTGAGATCTCAAAGTGTCATGTAATAAAGAGTTTTAAATTACAACTTACTCTGGAGTCTGCATGTAAGAAAGAAAACAATAATAGCCATTTAAATAATGAAAAGGAAGATAATCTGAGGTGTTCAATGTATTGTCGAAGGCTTTCACGGCTGGCATACGATGGCTGGTGTGGGTCTTCTGGGCTGTGTGGCCGTGGTCTTGAAGTTTTG